CCATACATTTCAGTATATTGCTATCATGTACAATTTAATTTTTCAGTTAAATTTCAACTACCAATGTGTAGCCATTTGATGGGTGAATTTTAAAACTATATACTCTGAACTGTTGAATAGGTTTTGCCACAATGAAATAAAATTAAACCCTCAAGTTTAATTTCCTGCCAAAACAGCTCCTGATAACCCATATGGAATGGAACCCATGTTAACGTGTCAACTAGAATTAAATAAACTTAACTAGGCTAATATAAACCAAAGTAGCAATATAAAAAGCATTGTCAGCATCCAAAAACTAGGTTTAAGATAAAAGTACCTAATTTTATTGAACTGAATTTTTTTTTTATGTAGAGGCCATGGAAAATTTTATTTGTTTCTTTCTGTTACATTTACAAAATGTTATTCACTACTGAATTGGAATAGCGGGTTGACAATTCTGATGTAAATTGTTATAAGAGGCTGTAAAATATTTGGTGCTCTTACTTCTTTTTCCATCCAGGAACAATTGATTCAATTAATCCACATTCTAAAGGTTCATGCTGTGCAAAGTCTGAATCTCCACTGAAAAAACTAAGAGTAAGCCCCACCACATCACAGGGCCTCCTTGCACCATTAGATTCAACCACAATTCCCTCCTCTTGTATTCTGCTCTGTACAGGGAACTATTGAATAATCAAACAATGAAAATCCCTGTGAATTAATAAGCAGATCTAAATTAAAGATCCAAAGAGATATATTGTTTCCTTGTATAATAATGTGTTTTTATGAGCATTAAATGCATGAAGTCTTAATAATCCATGTACATGCATTGTTCACAACATATGATGAGATTATATTTTTTTTAAACAAGTTTTATTAATTTTCAAGCTTTTAACAAAGCTTTAGGTACTAAGGAAGCAACTTGGTGGTTGGGTAATACATAGTCCAATAACACGTTTTTCCATACATATGGCATTTTACATCATCAAAAATTTCCTCTCTGTTTCGCTTAGTTATTATACCAAATTTCAGATTAATACATTGCTAGTTATAACTCAATCATTTAAAACATTTATCAACAACTTTTGATTTATATGCCTTCAAATCCTGTTTTTAACTTTTATCTGGTTTCAATTCCAGTTAGCTTAATGTCCATAGTATTTAGATTTCGGATAGCCCATGGTTCCCTTAGTTCATTATCGTTTCTAAAATAGACTTATATATTCAAATACATTCTTAGTTTATTCCACAATCATATTCATCGCTTACTAATAAAATAACTTTTATTCTCTGAATCCATCTTCTATGTTATAATTCAAAACTATTATTCTAGTAACTAATTTATTTCCCTTATAAATATAAATCCTAAATATTACATCAATTGATATCTTTTAAAATCTCCTTATCCCATTAAGTACGATTTAAAGCTCTTCCATTAAAGATCACTTAAAGAAGACCATTTTTAAAGTCTAACTCTGGCCTTCCTTTTGTGCCAAACAGGCTTCCATAACAGAGCTTTTAAATCCTCAAGTAGATCTCCCTTCATTCCTGCATATGTCATTTGAATCAAGAGAGACCATCTAGTCATCAGCCTGTCAGAGAAGCTAATCCCTTCATAGTCATTAAATTGTTGGCCTGATAGTTTAAATCTCCATATTTGGCTTAGTGTATTTGTCATGAGTTCAGGCTGATCTTCTTCTTCTTCTGATTTCAGCTGGTTTAGATGAAAGGTCATATTCAGTGTTGTAGTTGTTTTTTGGTCATCTGGGTTATCTGAATTCTCAGTGTATTGTGTATGTAAGTCTTCAGCATCTTCCATCTTAGTGTTGCTTTCCTCAATTACTGTTGCTGTTGAAGTTGCAAATTCTTTGGATGCAATCAATGTTTGGATATTAAAGTTCTGAGTAGATTGTAGCTGGCATTCTTTGAAATCCACTTTGGTATTAATTCCTTCTTCTTCTGTTGTTTTTTGGGTTGTAAGTTCATCTATTGGAGTCAGGGCTGCATTTTGTAGCTTTAAGGTGGTACGTAGTATATCTTTCAGTCTGGAATTCATTTGCTCAGTAGCCTCTAAGATTTTTTTAAGTATAAATTTGAAGTTAAGCTGTGGGTGGTGTTCCTCCATTTCTGTGGTTTTTGCAAATAGTCCTTTAGTGGACGCTATTTTTAATGAAAGCCAATAAGAATCCACCTCCACTATAGAAAATTATTTTCACCACCCAGCTGTTTCAGATTATCTTTTTAGATAATGTCAAGGACAAATTTTAGTCTCAGAAGTCTCCCAGTCAAAAAAAAAATATTCATTTGCTCTACCATGTTTTGCCACAAGATGTCCCTAGTGCCATGCACAGTTAAGCTTTTATCCGGTTCAAAGAAGAAAGAAATATTCCTCTTTTTCCCCCCAGTTTAGCAAACAAACAAAACAATAGATCTCTGTAAGAATAAAGAACTTTTTGAGAGCCCAGGTATCCAGAAATTGCTAGTCCAAATATTTAGTCATTTAGTCTAGTTGTTCTATTTTTTTCCCCTTGCGTTAGCTTTAGATTCCCAAAGTAGGCAGGAGCCACAGAATTGAGAAAGGGGAAGAAGGTATTCACAGGCTTTTACAGGAAAATAGATGGGAAGCAGGAAAGGTAAGGTAAGGTCTCACCCAACTCCTCCAGGTTGATTTTGTCGTGCTTAGTAGTGCTTTGGGCTTTCGACAGGAACGGCTTAACATGGCCGATCGTTTCTTTGTCGGTCCAGAGGAGCTGCCTCAGATACAACGGAAGGGTTGCCGCCCTTCCGTGGTCATTGAGGGTCCTCCTCAGTGGTGGTCGTTCCTCCAGGGCGACTTTCGACCCTTTGCAGGGTCTTCCGACGAAGAAGAATCGGACAGCAGAGAGAGCAGCCTCTCTGAGCGTCCGCCGGCGCCGTGATCACAAACCGGAAGCCATGATGAGATTATATTAATCCTTTTCAGAATGTCACATAGGTACTGTATGATAAATAATTTAGGAAGACAAGATTTTAGAATGTTACATTGTTCCAAGAAAAAGGACAATTATAATGATTGATGATCATTCTCCTGTGATGATAATGTGTGTGTGTGTATATATATATGTGTGTGTGTGTGTATGTGTGTATATGTATATGTATGTGTATATATGTAGATGTAGATGTATTTGCTTATGTGCATGCATCAGATTTCTCCACCCTGTAATATATATATATATATATAAGTTCAATATGAAATTGAATAAAAATCACAAAGAATGTGGAGAAATTATTACATAACTGTAAAAATCATAGTTTCAAATATGTAAAAGAATGAAAAGTATTTTTATTTAATGATTATATAAAGTATTATCTGAAGAGTTTCATGATACTGAGAAAATAATAGACAAGTTTGATACATTTGTATTGATGGGTCAAAACAAACAAATTGAAATAGGTATCGCTAAGCTATTCCTCATTACTTCTTTTGCATTCCACATAAAATATTAATAACATCATATGCACTCTATATGAAATTCATAAGAAGGAGTGATCTGAAATAGCCATTTTTAAAATAGTATATTTTTACATATCTCCATATTGTGAATTTTAAAAAAATTCTGAAGAGAAAATATTTGTTCCTAGTAATATAGCAATGAAAGAATTTCTGCAGGTGGCCTTGTTTTGCTCAATAATACCAAAAAGATAATGGAAGTCCTTGGCTAACCAAGCACCAATCCTGAGGTGTTATTCAAAGTACTGCAGAGAATTTCTCCATTTATTTATTTATTAAATGTATTTCTATGCCACTCAATTTCCAAGACTATTTCTAATACAATAATATTATGTTAATGGCTTATGGAAAAATATATCTGAATCTTTAAAAATTTTGATTTGACTATGATATAGTATTGTTTATATGTAGAATTATTCATTTAGATTCAATATTAAACACTCTGGTACAATCAGAATGCTGTTTAATAAATAGAACAGTTCTATGCCTTAGTTCACAAATCATTTGTCCTATCTCCCTAGTAGAGCATATTGATATAGGCCATATGCATTTGTTTCAAGATTAGCCAAAATTAGAAATCCAGGTTTATGTTACTCAGTCTTAAATATGTTACATAGCTTTCTAAGAGACTGTGACAAATATGAAAATAAATAAATCTGTGAAAATGTGGAAGTTTAAATAAAGCATTTATTAAGTACAGATTTTTTTTATCAATGCACCATAAAGGAAAATTTAACAATATTTAATTAAACTTACAATAGTTTAAACTTATTATTGGATTAGTAGTTTGGAATGTAGAGCAATCCAACTATTTCATAGAAAATAAAATTCTTCAAATCCATTTTCAGGAAATAAAATAACTTAACATTATATACAGGTTTCAATATTTTTAGTGTTCCATTAAAATTTGTGACTGGTAATTTTTAACTTGGAAATTATTGTCCACAGTTTTGTTATAATTATCAAAAGGCTGATAAATATTTAGACAAATAATTCATTCTACTTGAGCTGAAGGAATAATAATTGATAGAGAATTCAAAATGATATAATGGGTGCTGCTTTTAAAATTCATTTCAAAACATTCAAGGACATATATAAAAAGTTAAAGTAAACTTGCTATCTCTGAGAGGACCTAATTTCTGTTAGTATCAAGAATAGTTTATGTACTTTGATTCAGTTTCATGATAGTTCTCTATCCCAGATAACAATTTATAATTCTGCTCCCCACCCCCTTCTTGTACTGGAACATAACTGGCAATCTTCCTTACAACCATCAATGGGCCAATCTAGAATAATTGCATTTAGATCACTTCTACTGAACAGACATTAACAACATTGTCAAACTGTATAAAATTTTTGACACAAAATGAAACGCCACTTATATCTTTTGAAATTACTGTATCTGATATTAAATGAAACTTTCTCTCACTATTAACCCAGTTCCACTGATGAAAGAAAACTAGCACATTAGTCCATTGTATAAACTTATTTGCAAGACATATACATTTCTGAAGTTTCCTTTTTTTGTCCATTTCCGTATATTTCTTCTATTCATAGTCTCCATTTGTGTATCCAATACAAACTTCCTTATATCTTGGATCACAAAAATCTTCTTACTGCATTTGCTAAAATCCAGTGCAGATCCAAGGTGCAAAGATACACTTTGATCAGCATTAAAAGTGGTAATCCTTTTTGCTGTAGGCTCTTTTCTCTGGTGATGTTGAATTCCATGTTGGTTTCACAGGAGCACAGCTTTTATCCACAGCTCTACAGTGTGAATATGGAGTCATGGGCAACAGCAACAGATGCAGACTCAGTCTGTCACTCCAAAAGCAATACAAATATGCTTAAAGCTGCTTCATTTATGAAGCAAACTTAGAACTGTTAGCTGCCTGGAGAAAGGGAAGGGAGGAAAAAGCTTAAAGTCTCAATATCTCAAAAGCTATTTTAGTGACAGATGTTCAACTTTTCATATTAGTAGAAAATACTTTCACATAGAAATTGCATAGGCTGCCTTGATAATGAAGGAATCGCAATAATGAAGGAATCCTTTATTCAACCCACAGCCACCCTTTTCATTTGTTTTATACTTAAAAGCAACTACCAATGTATTTTAAAACATATAAAGCAAAATATAAAAGTAAGGCAATTAGAATTCCGAATGAATGAATGAATGAATGAATGAATGAATGAAGACATTTCAAAGGCTTGGCTAAAGACAGCATCTTCAGAGTGCAAACTAAGCATTACTCCTAAGGGTAGGTTGCGATTTTTTTAATCACAGGGTATGATTTAAAAAAAGATGATGACCACAATAATGTGATCAAAACTTTTTTGGTTCTTTATCCACATTTTATGTGTAACACACACAAAAATTCTGATTATATTTTTGTGGCCCCCAACTTGATTTTTTTGACCATACCTTGTGGATACTCCTGCCTAACAGAGCACAGTCTATAGACCTAGAATGTTGTAGGAGAAAGACTTCCTCTACATGCACGATACAGGCCTCCCAGTGAAAACTCTGGTGGCCAGGGCAGATCTTTCATATTTTCCTCACCTGGTACAACTATTGGCAACATATCAATTATATTTTCTATCATTTGAACATCTTAGCAATTTCTATGGAATGTATGGTGAATAATATAGTGATGAAGTGTTGCCACCTTAGGGAAGAAAATCACATGATATGTCGTGAGAGAAAGAAGAGATAAAGAACAGGAAACAGAAGAAATAAGAGTGAAATTTATAGAAAATGGGTGTTTGTGAATCAGGCAGAGTAGAATTGAAAATAGAAATATGGTGATAGTACTGATTGTGGGTTCTGTATGTTGATGCAGATGCATGAACACATGTGCATAATATATGCATTTAATCAATCAAAACATGGCTGTAGTCTTCTATCTGTATATTTAGACAATTTGTTTAAACCTTTCTGAAGCATCAGCTGAACCTATATTAAAACTTAGTGGTTCAGTTCAAATGTCAGAGATAAAATGATCATAGTATATTTCTGTATCAATAGTAAATTGATCCAAATAGTAGCTTGCTCTTCCTTACATGCCATGTGTAGTCCTCGACTTATGACCACAATTACAACTGGAATTAGTATTGTAAGTTGATGCAGTTGTAAAGCAAGATGTCATGTAATTGCAACTATTTGTAATGGCAATCCCAGGGCTCCCCAGTGCGGTTGTTAACCAAGAATTCTGGGTCATTAACTGGGCTTGGTCCATACCAGCCCAAAGTCTCAGTAAGTCAAGGGTCTGCCTCTAATTACCCCTATGTGGCTATCGCTCCCCCACCTATGTCCTTTTGGCCACCCTACATCCTGTCTTGTGTAGAAACAAGCAACTCCAACAACTAAGTGGCTCTAGGGCTGCTTGCCACAACCAAAGAAACCTCCACCACCTCAGCCCACCCCAGCTGCCATTCATTCACCCAGCTACCTTCTCTCCCCAGGCCCACATATTTCCCAGTCTGACCAGGAAGCATCAGCAGCATTCACTGACTCCCAGTCCACTCCAGCAAGCATTTATTCATCCAGTTGCCTTCTCTCCCAGTTCCCTGCATGGATCTTTTGCTGTCTCTGTTTTGGACTCAGTTTCTCCAGTGAACCTTTCTTACTGTCCTACTTTGTCCTTCTTCTGAAGGCAGCATATTTTCATAAAGCTGAGCTATCTTTGGAACACCTAGAGAAAGACAGGCAGCTTTCTGAAGGGTATGTTGTCTTTGCAAAGCTGTGCTGTCTTTGGAGTGCCTTTGGAAAGAGAGTGCAGCTTTATGAAGACAGTGCAACTTTACAAAGAAGCACTGTCTTTGGAATGAAGAGGAAAAAAAGTAGAAAAGTAGGCAATGTTCCCTTGAGAGGCTGGATCCAAAAATGAAGCAGCAAAAGGTGAAAGGTCGAAGTGGGAAACTGGAAGAGAAGGCAGTTTGGCAAATGAATATTTCCTGGTGCTTGCTGGGTTATGGTGGGGAGCACTTGAGGCTGGGGAGCAAAGAGAACTGGCCTTTCTAATACTTGCTAGAGCAGACTGGGTTGGCTCCGACTTCCCTAGGTATGGCAAGCAGCCTCAGAGACATGTCATTCTAAGGCTGCTTGCTGCCTTGCAAAGCAGAATGCAAGCCAGCCAAAAGGACAATGATGGGGGGGAAGGGAAATAGGTGATGGGGGCAGTTGAATTGCTTCTGATGTAAGTATGGGCTGTCAAGCACTGGAATTTTCGTCATGTAATTATGGCACAGGTGGTAAGTCCATTTTTTCAACCCCATTGTAACTCCAAACAGTCACTGAACAATTGGCTGTAAGTCCAAGGCTATCCGTATAAGCATTTGAGAATTTACTTTGATACCCCACGGGCAGGTCTGAAAATAAGCCAAAGTTGCTCAGAAAGTGACAGGAATTCCTTTTGCATCATAGCTGAGCTACGCAGAGGCCAATGATGGGGAAACCTGCCAGCACAAGATGAAATTCCAGTCTTCAAGAAGCAGAGCCTGTCCCTGTGTCCCAGTGCAAAAGGCTCAGATGTTTATGTAATAAGCCATCATTTAAAATGCTTATTTAAAAGAAAGCAAGAAGGGAGATTGTTTTTATAGACTATGGGTCTATTGTCCATGAGGAAGCATGTCAATGTCAATGTTCTGATGGTATATAGGTGATATAAACTCAAATGTTCTGTTTCAATACTTGCCTAGACGTGAAGCAGTAACAGTGTATATATAAAAAAGAAACAGCTACACTTGTAGAAGCGATTTGTCTTTGTGCTGCAACATACTGAAAAAGAAATAAAAAACAAAATGCTTTTTCAGTCTTTTGTGACAAATCTATTTTTGAAATTATAAAAATTATTTCAGGTGGAGAACAGCCCTTATTTGTTAAGAGCGTTCCACAATTACATATTTTAAAATATATTTATATGGAAATAATGTTTTAGAATATAAGAATATAAAGTGCAGAGGAAAATGCATCAATTAGACTTAAAGAGAACAGAACTGTGAACAACACAGACTTCTAAACTCTCCGGTTTGCTATTTTATAAAGCCTGCTTACTAGGAATGCCCCATTGTGTAGCCATTCTTTAATAAACCTGTATAGAATTGCAACTTTACAAAAGCCTAACACAGGTCAGGAGGTACATATCTTACCTAGAATCTTTCAGGACCAAAATTTCCAAACATATATTTAAATTGAGGAAATAGTATCCTAGCAGACAATGAACTCAAAATTAAATTAAAATACCTTATCTCATTATCTTCTTGGTTGATGTTAGATTGTGTAGTCTGGTGAATTTGTAGTATATGCCTGCAGGTCCTTTTCTATAGAAAAATAACAAAACATGCCTTATGGTAATGTAGAAAAATGCAATATAATCAATTTTTTTGCATTTTTTAAAACAATGAAATACTAAAAGCATGTTTCTGTTGTCACTCAGCTCAAATCACAACAGTTTGACCCTGGGAAAAGTAATATTACTCTTAGCTAATCCACACAATTAGTACCATAAATGTTATAGAACATTTACAGTTTTAATTGTATGGATTAGCTAAAAGTATGTTCCAGTAGTCTTCCACTGGATAATACTCACTACATCAACCAGGCTTGGCAATCATCGAAGCTTTGTGAATTTTGCAGCATTTTAAAAATATTTATCATTGCAAGTCTATGAAATCACACTGCTCTTGCCAATCCCAAACTGGCATTCAATTCTACATCAATACTTATTCCTCTTCACTGGGGAATCTAATTCCACACTGGAGAACTGTCCTCTGCCAATAAGTCATCTGCCTCTAGACAGGATGTTGACAGGAAGGGAAAGGAAATAAAATGACAAAGCTTTTCAGAAACATAGAAAGTTAAAAAAAATCCTTTCCACAAATCCTGTCTGATATCCTGGTTTATTGACATGTTTGATTAACAGGAAACCAAGGTACTTCTCTCAAGGGCATATATGATACTCCAATTTGTATCCTATTTAACCAATCACATATTTGATATTTCTCACCTTCCAACATATGGCTCCCAAAACAAAGCCAAAGACAAAAGCCACCAATGATGAAAGTGCTATGCTCAATACTTGATTGCTAGGCTTACTGAGGAAGTCCAATTCTGCTTCTGGAATTAAAAACATTTTGGATTAATGAAGACAGGTTAAAACAAAACAAAATCTCCAGGGTAACAATGTTAAGCTTGTGAGTCATATATTTAGTAACACTTTTCTAGTCCTTACATTGTAAATGATACCTTTAAAGTAGTTTGTGGTTTTATTAGGAAGTATTTGGCTGCCTGAAATTCACAGCTTTATTTGCACTTCACTTGGGAAAGGCAAACATTCTGGCAACTTTATAATCTCATGTAACCATCTGCAAAGAAACTCTTACCAAGTTATCTTCTCATTTTCTCTTGCTGGATTTTCAGCTAAAGGTTTCCCCTCCCCATTTAAAACAGACCACATAATTTATCAGAAAAACATGCTTAGAAGCTCTCAGATATGAATTCTCAAGAGGCACAGCAGCATGAACTGAAAAATGCCAAGGATTTCCCCCATTCTTGAGGAACAGAGTACTATTAGCAAAAGCAGTCCCATTGGCCACTGAAACAATAGTTGGGGCACTTTTGCTCATCTGAACATTTGAAAAGCAAGCTATACTAAGTCTTAGCCTACAACAGTGTTTCTCAACCTTAGCAACCTCAAGACATGTGGACATCAATTTCCAGAATTCACCAGCCAGCATGCTGATTTCAACATGCTGAATGTTGAAATCCACACACCTTAAAATTATTAGCTGCTAAACCATTACTGTAGACCAGTACAGTGGTCTACAACAGGGCTTTTCAACCAGTGGTACAGGTACCACCTGTGGTACATTGGCACCTGGCAGGTGGTACGCGACCATCCTAGAAAAGTGGTAGCAGGGGAGGGGAATGAGCTGAACCGGTGGCAGCACCGCACAAGCCTGAGCAAGAGATGGCTGGAGCTGCAGGGCTGTCAGGGCTCAGCGGAAGCGCCAGGATCAGCACTTCTTCGGTACTGTCAGGGCTCAGTGGAAGCATCAGGAAAGAGTACAGAGAAGAGCAACAAAGATGATTAGGGGACTGGAGGCTAAAACATATAAGGAACGGTTGCTGGAATTGGATATGTCTAGTTTAACGAAGAGAAGGGTGAGGGGGGACATGATAGCAGTGTTCCAGTATCTCAGGGGCTGCCACAGGGAAGAGGGAGTCAGGCTATTCTCCAAGGCGCCTGAAGGCAGGATGAGAAGCAATGGGTGGAAACTGATCAAGGAGAGAAGCAACTTGGAGCTGAGGAGAAACTTCCTGACGGTTAGAACAATTAACCAGTGGAACAACCTGCCTCCAGAAGCGGTGAATGCTCCAACACTGGAAGTTTTTAAGAAGAGACTGGACAGCCATTTGTCCGAAATGGTATAGGGTTTCCTGCCTGAGCAGGGGGTTGGACTAGATGACCTTCAAGGTCCCTTCCAACTTTACTATTATTATTATCATTATCATTATCATTATCATTATTATTATTATTATTATTATTATTATTATTATTATTATAATAATAAAAATTAACTCCAACCAAAGCAAATCCATGTGCTTCTTCTCCAAACTCTAGGCTTCATTCTGAGAAAGGATATTAATGTTGAGTGCTATTAGACATGTTTGCCATTTGCTTGTTTTCTCTGGTGGCAAAGAAGTTTATTTAACTAATGCATCCCAATGATGCAGAACTAGTTTGCACAATATGGCTGCTTTTCTTCCCCACCTCCCCAATTAATATGACAATACTGAATAACAATTGTTTATACTTACTGTTGCTGTTATTGCCACTGCTATCATTCCTAAGGGAACTGGCTGCAACAGGATGTAATAAAAATGGCTCTGTGACACTGGTGCTTGAATCTGAGACAGAAAGAATATGTCAGTTTTTTTATATTTTAAGCAGATATGAAGTTGCGTAATACAGAATGAAAGCCTGGGATCCTGGCAGGATTCTTTTCCAGCCTGATCCATGAACCACATGTGAGTTTCCCACTGCAATAAAGCTGGGCCTATTTGGGTGAGTGGAGGGAGGGACACTACTTTTTTTTTTACTGCTTTATACCATTTAGACAATTCAGAAAAAAGGTTTATGTGATCAGAAGTAAATAGCTATAATGGAAACAGGGCAGCTAAATTTCCTATATTCTATGTTCTAAAAATATACCATTCTATAAAATCCTGAATGCTTGCTTTATGTTCCTAAGATATGTTGTTATGGAGTTGCGTTGAGGAATATTTTAGATATCAGAGACTGAAAAAGCTAACATTGTGTCACCATCATTTTTGTGCTAGCCACCTGTCCTTTTGATAAAAAACCTGAGGGAAAGGCTGTTTTTTCAAAATCTGCATGCAAATCCTTCAGGAACCTTCTCAATTGAAGACTGGGATAAAACTGACGTAAACAGGTAAATAAATTTATTGCACTGTTTATTTTGTTTTAAAAATTAAATAGCAGTCCTGAGTTTTGAATGTGGATTAAGGTTCTAGAGAATAATGGGGTAAACGGTGTAGAAAGATTTTGATCCCTTCTCCCCACTTTGATCCTAGTCTAATTATTTGCATTGGTCAAAAGCAGAGCTGCTGGCTATCATCAAGAGGGCAATGTATGAGGACTGAAAATGAATAGAGGGGAAGAGGGCCCCTATCCCTTATTCTTGGAATAGGTAAGGGACAGAGGTGGTCACATTGGCTATGCTTTTCTATATGTGTGCCCACATGCTTTTGATTCTCTCTCCAATCTCCTTATATTGATGCAAGAAGTCTGAAGTACATATCTCTATGCTGTTTAAAAGTTAAGGTAAAGGTTTCCCCTGTCCAGTCATGTCCGACTCTAGGGGGCAGTGAAGGAGTCAGTGTTGTCCGAAGACATTTCATAATCCTGTGGCTAGCATGCTTATATGCTGAGGTGCATGGAACATGTTTCCTTCCCACTGAAGTGGTATCTATTTATCTATTTGCATTCACATGCTTTTGAACTTCTAGGTGGGAGGAGCTGGGTCAAGTAACAGGAGCTCACCCAGTTGTGCAGCCCTCAGATCTCAAACCCAGGCTGTCAGCTTTCCAAATGACGTGCTCAGTGTCTTTAGGACCCTGGTAAACCAGGGTACAGTTCAACAAACTCAAAGCGCTATTTATTACTGATATTTCTAGATGGCTCTATTCCAAACAGCATATAATTGTGTTACATTTAACCTGTATAATACAAGCTCATATTGAATTGGCACCAATCCATTAAAGGTGATTCATGGATATTTTTATATATAAAAGAGCATTTACCATTTGGAGAGGCTTCTGTTGTTGAGGGAAGAATGCAGTCACTTTGTTCTGGTCTTTTTGAAAAGTTTTTGTAGGCCTCAATAGTGCTGTAAAAGTGCTTAAAGAACTCTTCTGGAACAAATTTATCTTCTTCATATAGATGGTCATGTTGGCTATAATTCTGAGAAAAAGGACAGAATCCCATTTTTAAGAAAATAAGGCCACCTAGTCTATCACTATGCAGGGAAGGTTTTAGGGCAGGAATTTCTTCCTAGGTGAATACATTATTTACAAGTGGCAAAAACACAGGTGAAAACTTTATATGCAAATTCATATTCAACTGAAAAGCTTTTTTAGATAAATATTAAATACACAATTAAAATACTAAACCAGGAATTGGTTTACGTTGCAAATTGAAGCAGCTAAGTTTAAAGCTGGCTTTAGACATTATAGTTTCTTTATGTTACAATATCATTTTTTATGTTTTAGATCAGAGATATATAATGGGGGTGAGAGGTTGGCATGTATCTTGGAGAATGCTTATTCCCAAATTTCTGTTTCACCTATTACTATGAAAAGCAATACTGTTGTTTCCACAGACTTATTAGCAGTGCAAGCTGTGCTTGCTACTCAGAGATTACATTTGAAATAAGTCCTGCTGAATTTGACAGAGCTTCAATGCATCAAATGTATATATAAAATAATGTGTATATGTTAAACAGACATATTTATTAAAATACAGGGCTAGAAGAAATTAAACTGCGTGCAAGAATTATTTATATATTATTTTTATGTTCCACAACAATCATACAAACACAAGGGAGGGTATAAATATGATACATAAATATATATAAAAATTGAAGAAATTATATATAATTAAATATATAAATAACTGAAGGAATTACGTATATAAAGTCATAAAGAATGTTTGGCTTATTATACTAGCAAGGTAACCTCTGCAAAAACATTATGTTACAGTCATCTATTCTTTATACATTAATGTCACAGGATACTTAGTAATATAGAGGAAAGTTCAGTTTTAGATTATTACCTTATTATATGTGGTAGAAGGTAAGCATGCCATCACATCAATGATGATCCTCCTTAGTTTATTGATAATTGAATAATTACTCAAGACATTTGACATATCTGGAAATTCTTTAAATTTATTGAGAAGATTATTTAGACTGTTTAACAATTCAGGGACCATCAAATGCAACCAACAATGGTAAGGCTGTCAGAGATTATAACAAAGAAAAAAAAGATATTATATTCTGTGCATGCTTTAATAATGTACAATTGTAAAAGTAGCTCAATACATTGTTACATTTATTTGTTTGTTTGTTTATTTATTTTCTATCTACCCAGCATTTATAAACTACCTCAACCCAATCTGCCTTGGGCAGCATTATTTTGTGCTTTGTTAAACTACTATTCAACTGCCATTAATGTGCATGAATCTGTGACTGTCAGCAGATGCATTTCATGTTGCATGTCAGGAATACAATTCAAATGTCAAAAACACTATGCATTAACAATGTTGCTTCATTAATATATAGACTTGGTTCATCTCAACAGTAAACATATTTTGCTAACACAAAGTGTGTTCATACATTACATAAAGTCATAATGAGATTTGTCTAATTTTGATTTACACCACTGTGTGAATCCTAATAGTACCAAAGCCCATTAATACTGCAGCAGGACAAACGTTCATTTTCAATTATGAACATCAAATTCAGTTTAAAAGTACTATTAGATCTAAAAGTTATTAGTATTAGTATTATTAGTATTAAAAGATATTATTGAGTATCTACTGAGATCTCTACCCTATATGGCTTTCCTACCTAATTGTTCAATGAAATGTTGTAGCAATAGTAAAAACACTTAAGATTTATTATACCGCTTCACAGTGCTTCACAGTCCTCTCTAAGCAGTTTACTAGAGTCAGCATATTGCCCCCAACAATTTGGGTCTTCATTTTACCAACCTCAGAAGGATGGGAGGCTGAGTCAACCTTGAGCTGATCAAAATCGAACTGCTGGCAGTCGGCAGAATTGGCCTGCAATACTGCATTCTAACCACTGTGCCAGAATGATTCTACCTGGTATAGCACTACATATCTTTTTTTTTAAATGATTCCAAGGTTGGAACTGGGGGTGCTTCTAAGGCCATAGAATACTGCCCCTGTGGCAAATAACCCCAAATGTATTCACAAAATGTTTCTGAGTATTCACTAAAAAGAAGATGACTATCTTTCTCTCTCACACGCACAAAAGTTATTATTCTCTCTGCCAGCAAGTAGATTTAATTAGGCTTTTAATTGGCAGCAAAGAAACAACCTTAGAACATTGCAGTTATATCTGGTTTTTTGCCAGGAAATATTAGAGGCTTGGTAGGAAACCATTTATAATATTACGTACTTTACAATTTAATTAGATGAACAAAATTGAATTTCTGATTAATACTGTGAGTATGTCAATAACCACACCTCAATGTTTGGAATGTTAGAGGAGACAAAAAAAAATGCAGGCATAAAAATCTTACAATATTCCTACTGCATAAAATCAAAGATTTCCTGTTTCATCTACCATGGGAAAATGAATCATTTTATATAACTGAAGATTTAGATAGGCTGAGTCATTTACTCACCTAATTAATATGTATATACAAATAATTAAAATTATATTGCTCCTTTGTACACATTTATTTCAAGTAAATAAAATATATGGGGAAAAAACCATTTAAAATGCAGCATGTTAAATTTTAATAGAATTTCAATGGAAAAGTTTAATTTACCAACAGGAATGTAATGGTCTCTGGCCAGAATATAATTTTATAAGAAAAACCTTTTGAAAAATCTCTGCATTAAAAAGTTCACAATCTGTTTGCATTTCCAAAAATTGAAAAGCAAAAATAATTGATGCTGCATATGTTTATGTTTTGAAATAATTCAAATAGCTTTACATACCAATGTGTCCGTCTTCTGGACATATCTAAGAGCTATCATATAATCATCTGGAAGATTTCCAACCTACAGACAACCAAAGAACACAAAAAATTATTTAGCTCTTTCAGGAAAAAAATTGAAATAGAGAAGGCAATGCAGCTAAGCATATAAAGTCCAATCATGCCTGTGGGAACCTGACATGCCACTTGCATGACAGTGCAATGCAAATTTTTAAATCCTGACCTTTTTTATGAATTATGTACCAGCCAATTGATTCACTTCAGAATTATTTTCAAACATTTTTTCAGTTCCTTGTTGAAAATCTCCCTTTCAGGTATTTTTGACTATATCTGTTTTAATCCTTTGCTCCTGTGAATGACGAAGGGCACTAGGTGGACTCCTTCTGGTTTATGGTTTGTCCGGCTGTCACTTGTATGTGAAATATCAAACTGAAGTTTGTTCTGCCTATGAAAGAGAAAGAGGTGAAGCACATGATCTAAGTCTCACAATGGCTTGTTTTTCTGTTTTATCTGTTGTGGGTCAGTATATTTTTTTAGGATAACTTGCTGCGGCTAGCTCGGTGCCACCAACTCACCTCTGCCAACTCACTGCCACCAAATTGCTGCAGGACAATTCCACATGTCCAATTCGCTATGGGGACAAATTGCCACAAGCAGCTGGAGCAAGAGCCAGTCGGGTGAGCAAACCAGCAATTGGGCAGAGCACAGAGTGCAGCCAGGGGCTTCTCATTTTCACACTCTTGCTGCTGTGCCAAGCTCTGTGCAAAAGAGTTCGGGAATGGTGGCAGTGGACAGGATGGGTGGCAGGGAAGCGGCAGTGGCCAGGGATGTCCCATTTTCATACCCTCTGCCACCATTGCTGCTGCTGCACCAATCTCTGGGACACAGATGCTGGGGACAGTGGTGGCAACAGGGATGTGAAAATGAGAAGCCTCTGCCGCCACTTTGCTGCCATTGCTGCCGCTGTCCTCAGCCTCTTCAGCCCAGAGCATGGTGCAGCAGTAGTGGCAGCAGCAGAGGCAACAGTTGGGGGTGTGAAAATGGGATACCTCAACCTCCACCACCTCCTTGCTGCCCACCCTGCCTACGGCCACTGTCCCCAGCCACTAAGGCATGGAGTTTGGCATGGCAGGCCACTGTGCACTCTTCCCACCTGCTCACTCACTCATTCAACTCTCTCCCTCTGGCCACCTGCAGTGTGTTGTCTCCATGGCAAGCTGGCCATGTGGAGTTATCCTGCAGTGACTTGACATCAATGAGTTGGCAGAAGTGACCGGCCATGCTTAGCTGCTGCAATAAGTTGTCCCATTCCTTTTTTCCATAGCCCTTCTTTAAATTGTATTCTAATTGGAAAGTTGCTATCATAATTTGACTCAGTAATATTTTCTTTAATCTAAATATATGCAGATCCTGTAACCATTCTTCACAAGACCTGATTTCCATATTCCTCACCAATTTGATAGTCCTTCTCTAAAAAATTTCTAATGTGTTTTTGTATTTTTTAAAGTGTGGTGAACACAATATTCCAAGTGGGAACTGACCAGGTCAGCATAAAATGGAATAATTACTCCCTGTTATCTTGATTCTATCTTCTGTTAATGCCCCAAAGATAACATTTATGTTTTTAGCAGCTCTATTATACTGCTGGTTCATGTTTAATTTTTGGTCATCCAGTATAACCCAAATCCGTTTGGTATTGTTGCCAGGAAGCCCTCCCAATTTGTGCCTTACATTCTTCCTATATAGATGCATAAATTTATACATATCCTATTCATTTCAGTCATCTGTTCAAGCCTATCCAGAACTTTTTGAATCTTCTCCCTTTCATTAAAAATGTATGAGTCATCTGCAAATGTTATAAATGGGTGAGGAAATCACCCAAGTCACCAATAAAAATATTGAACAGCACAAGGACCAAGACAGAAGCCTGTGGCACTCCACCAATCTTCTTTCCAAGATTAAATGGGGCCAGTGATGAACACTCTCTGGATGTGTTCATTTAGCCAACCATAGGCCCATCTAACAAGAGGTATGGTAGCTCATATTTCACCATTTTATGAAGGGGAATATCACAAGGCACTCTGTCAAAGACTTTGCCTAAGTCCAGGTGCATTATGACTGCAATATTTTCCAACTTTGTCAGAGATAAGGTTAAGCTGGCAAAATTTGTTTCCAACAAATCTAGTCCAGGTGCTGTTAACTGTAGCATTCTTATATAATTGCTTCTATAAATCACAGGTTATTATTTACTAGGCTTCATCTCTTAGTTTGGACATAAAACAAGCTCATCTTATTGATGATTGGACAGAGAGCTGAAAGATCATCAAGTAACTCTAAGCAACCACTATGGCATAACGCAGTGAATTAGATTTGTGCCTGATTATGTGATATGCACATGGTCATTTTGATTTATTTATGTCAAACATGTCAAACACAAGGCCCGCGGGCCAGATCCAGCCCAGGAGGGGCCCAGATTTGGTCCCCAGAGCTGTTCCAGAAATGACAAGGGCCGTGGAGTTCTATAAGCCTAGCACCCCAGGGCATGCCGGCCTGTGGGAAGAAAAGCGTGGAGATGGGAGTATGTGGTGGCACAAGCCAAGAATCAGCCGGCTTCCAGTCACCATCTCTGGCATGTGGTAGGGCCGGATGCAGAGCTGCAGACTGGAACTGCCAGCAGCCAGCAATATGTGAGGCTCTGTGGCAGCTGGAAAGGATGAGAAGGAGGAGAAAGCAGGAAGGGTTTCTCTCTCTCTCTCTCTCTCTCTCTCTCTCTCTCTGTGTGTGTGTGTGTGTGTGTGTGTGTGTGTGTGAGAGAGAGAGAGAGAGAGAGAGAGAGAGAGAGAGAGAGAGAGAGAGAGAGCCAGCAGGGAAGTAAAAGTGTGGGGAATGGGAAGCGTTGCAGAGTAAGCAAACTTACAAAAAGGGTATATCTCTCTCTCTCTCTCTCTCTCTCTCTCTCTCTCACACACACACACACACACACACACACAGAGAGAGAGAGAGAGAGAGAGAGAGAGAGAGAGAGAGAGAGAGAGAGAGAGAGAGAGAGAGAGAGAGAGAGAGATACACAGAGAGAGAAACCCTTCCTGCTTTCTCCTCCTTCTCGCCCTTTCTCTCCAGCTGCCACAGAGCCTCACACGTTGCCAGCGGCCGGCAGTTCCACGCTGTAGCTCTTTATCCAGGGTGAATGCTGCGTTCCCCTCTCCAGCCCTACCACATGGCAGAGAGGGTGATGCTCGGCTTGTGCCTCCGTGCTCTCCCATCTCCCTTCCTTTCATCCCACAGGCCAGGCGGCGGGCGGGCAGGCTGGGCCCCTTCTTTCAGTCCCCCTGCAGGGTGACCCTGAGGATCTAAAACTGATCACATTCTGGATGGCTGACACGAAGTTTAGATCAGTGCCACCCCCTCCACCAGCACCTCCATGGCCCACTGCCTGGCATCACAGCCTGTGAGCGCTTTTCTTTCCCCATCCCTGCGTGAGAAAGCCACGGCCACTGGCAGCAAAGAGAAGCAAGATGACAAGACTAGATACCAGGCAGTTTGCAGAAAGCCAGTGAGAAGGTGAGGCCATTTGGGGGGTTGGGTTAGTCGCATTGTGATTCTCAGAGAAGTGAGAGACCCAAAAGAAATATATGGAATTATCTGCAAAAAACTTCTGGGGAGATGGCTTGGAGCCATGTGCTGCATCAGGAATGTGGTGTGCAGGCAGGTGAGAGAGTAAACTTGCAGATTGGCTTTGTCGTCTATTCTTGCCACCTCCCCTCCCTAAAATCCAGCCAATAATAGAACTCTTTGGATTGAATGGGAAGTTAAGAGGTATTGGCATGAGTTGGAATTAAAAGGCCAAGTCAACTGCCCCCCCCCCCATTATTTTGTTGGAGACGTGGAAAGTGTTTCTCGCTTCTACTTCCCCTCATCTGCTCTTTTATAATTTAATCCAGACTTACCTAAACTAATGTCTTTTGGGTGTCATGGACCACAGTTCCCATCATCCTGTGGCTATGCTGGCTAGAAATGCAATGCTTTATTTTCTCTGCAGTATGTGCCTAGGAGGCAGTAGGTCTGTGGGATTTAGGTGTATTTAAACATTTGTTTTTTTCTGCCTAATTTATTAAATCAACGTCTAATTTGAAATTAAATGTTTCAGAGAAATCCAGGGTGGTTTACAAGAAAACTGTCAAAGACAGCTATTGTAAAGCATCACCAGCATTGCTTAAAAACAATATTAAAAGCGTGTATTTAAGAAAGAAAAATAGTAGTAGTAATTTACTTAGTGCTGTTTGACCATAAAATGTGGTATTGTTCTACATATGCCTGGCTGAACAGTGTGTTTGGAGTTGCCTCTAAATGGGTGAGGGATGCACTATTCATATTTTCCTTGGGAGAAAGCTCAATAATTGGGGTGCTGTCTCTGAGAAGGGGCGTTGTCTTACCAGAACGCCTTTTCTCAGCATGACGATGGAGAATCCACTAATGGGTTATGCTTGTTTTCTGCCCGTAGACTAAGTCAGCCAATTTTGCTCCGCCTCTTCCTGGGACCTCCATTCCCCAGTTCTCGACTGAGACGAAGTTGCTGACTAAGATTCCATTTGTTGGCTCAATCCTCTTCCCTGCACAGGACCTGACTGGCTCTAAGGGTGGGAGTGGATTCTCTATTGTCATGCTGAGAAAAGGCGTTCAGGTAAGACAACGCCCCTTCTCCAGCATGAAGGGAGGGAGGGAGATTGGAATGAGAGGAGGGAGGGTCTGAGGAAAGTCCTGCCTTAGCACTTGGCCATCAACAGCCCTGTTGCCCTTTCACCATCACCTGGTGGTTTCCCATCCTATTGCTGAGGATGATTTGGTTACAAAGCCAGGTCTCCTTGCATGGAGAGAGAGTGAGCCGCCCTCTGACTCACACAATTTGCCCTCCTGCACTCACCATGAGTAACCTGGCCAAGGAAAGCGAGCACAGCAGCAGCCGCCTCAAGGAGGAGGTAAGCGCAGCTGGGCTTCCCCTCAAGGAAATGCGGCTGGGCTAGGCAAGGTTGTGAGGTCCTGGTGATGTGGGAGCTCGAGGGCCGG